GACAGGTGAGGTGATAAGAAAGGTGAGCACTGTAGTGGGTGTGTCTAAGGCTGTCATTGTTTCACACACATTCTCAGGTGTAATATAAACCCTGCTGAACCTGTTACTGCCTATTTACCTGTGACACAAACTCCTTCACCTGACACTGTGTGTAAGTGGCTCTGACTGCTACTTATTAGGTGTTTTTAGTGTTGCTACTCTTTACCTGCTGGAGTATCTCTCTCTTGTTAGTCACCTTTGGACCATAAAGCAGTTTCTTTGCGTTGCGACAGCTTGGACTTTGTTCTGATATTTCCTGTTCATACTCATGTGCTGGGCCGACAACAATATCTCTCTGAGCTTACTTTACATCTCTAATTCGCTCAAAGAGATACAGACAGTGGGTCCCAACACTGCTGGTAGACTTTTGGGGATTTTCCTGATTTGAAACCTTTAACCTGCAAAGGTGGTGACTGTTTGCGTTTGCGTTCGTGCGAGTGTAAGCGGCACCTGGGGCTGCATATCTGGGCAAGATGATGGAGGAGGTGTCCGTCATGATGGCGTATGATGCCCACGTTATGGAGCAGATGAGCGAAGAGGAGATCCTGGCCTGTCTGGTGGCTGAAACCGGACCTAAATTCACAGTAAGACTCACTGTTGCATGGATGCATTCAGACACATACATACATAATATCACCAGCAAAACCACAAAGACGAAACTAACTATTCATTTGATCTAAAACCATGATTTATAAAGTTACTAAAGGTTTTCTGAAAAGCAATGCTGGATTTATTAATTTTCACTTTTGCACCTAAAGACTTTCAGATACAAGACTTTTCTAAAGTCAGTTAGACTGATCCAATAAACAGAAATAAAATCAAACTTATTGCCTTCTGTGTACAAGGCTTCCTATACTGACTGGCAGCGATAAGAGTATAACAGACACTGTAGCACAAAACACATTCCTCTGCATGACAAATACTATGTGCTTCGAGATAGAAGGAAATGAATTCTGCTCATTTAAGATATTTGTGATATGGAAATTGTCATTTCAGGCTTTAAAAAGAATCCTCCACTCCACTATTATTCCCTTCTGTGTCTTAAAATGATCCTTGCCCATGTGCTCAGCTCAATCATATCTAATTCTTATCCCTATCTTGATCTCTTTTTTTGGGCCTGTTCTTGATTTGTCACGCTTATACAGCATCCGGCACCAGATCTGTTTGGGCGAGATTGCTTTCTCCAGCTCAGTAAAATATGACATTATTGTATTTTATTAGCCTCCACTCTCTCCCCTCAGGTCCCAACCAAGAAAGCTAAACTGAGGGAAAGTCTGCTTCAAATAATGGATGACGAAGAAGACTCCTTGGACAAATACCTGGTCAGAAATTTTTCCTACAAGTCAATGTCTTTGAATGTCAACCTCAACTTTATACCAACTCTGTGACATTTTTGAGACAACAAATTAAATCTGTAAAAGCTATATTTTCCTTTTTTTCTCTCTCTCTCTGGATTTAAAATTACCTGATTTCCGATATTTGTTTTCTGCCATGTGCTGCAAACCCTGATAGATTTTTCTGTGTTTTACAGGAGGAGAACCGTCGGCTTCAGCAGGCCAGCCTCCGTCTGGAGCAGGAGAATGACAACCTTGCCCACAGACTGATCACCAGCAAAATTGCCCTGAGGAACACTCTGGACAAGGTCTACTACATTGCCCTTCACAAGAGGGGGGGAAAGGGTTTAATTTAAAAATGCAAACTTACCTGCGGAAGGTCTCAGAAACTCTCAAATCTAGAAGAGCCTGTCAGGAGACGGCCAAACTGTAACCTTAATAAAACTTCTACATTAGAATAGAAACTCAGCCTGCAGCTACTCTATGCATATGAGCTTAAAATGTCAGCTAGTATTGAATTTCAACCAGCCAGCAGTGCTAAGCATGCAGTCATTTAAAAAGTTTAAAACAAACAATATGATATACACCCTGAAATATCCTGGTGCAGAGATGATCAAAAATATAAATGGTTCTGTAATTTTTATGTTTTCAAGTTTCCTAACTGCCCCAAAAGCCTGAAAAAAGGCTATTTATTTGTTATCACATACAGTAATTTATTAATTTTGTTGTACATGTGATAATCTAATCGTATTTTTAGACTGAAAAATCGTATGAAAATGAATACACATAATTTTCTTGTATTTTATAAGGTCATGCATGCCAGACATACTTTAATGTGTGAGACAGAATTGAAGGCTAAAAGACAATGTTGATTTTAGGCAGAGGACAGAGTGGATGAACTCACTAAAGACCTTCTACAGACCAGACGTCAACTGCAGGCTACAGAAGAGGAGAAGAGAGGGAAAGAGGAGGAAGCTGCAATGGTAAGGTTCTTAATATGTCTGAAGACTTTCTAACATCTGACAGCCATTATAGGTTCAATATGTATGAGTGAAGGATTTCTTCTCTTCCTATAGTTAAAGGAGGTGTTTCGGAGAGAGCTGGAGAAGACTGAGCAGGATGTCAGACGGTCGACAGGTATCATTGCAGACTACAAACAGGTACAGATAGTTTGAGAAATACCTTATTCCTCATAAAGGATGTATATTAATAAAGAATGCGCTGATGCTTAATGATGTTGATGCTCTTCCTTCTACTCAGATCTGCTCTCAGCTGACAAACCGTCTGGAGAGGCAGCAGGCCGCCCACAGAGAAGAGTTGGATTCACTCAAGGTTAGAATAGTGCTCTTCCTGTGGAACTCTGCTGTCATCCTTTTCTACTTTTATCTCTCCTTCTACCTCTGTCAAGCTTCAACTTGAACACCATGTCATAGGAAATAATTTTGAAACCCTCAGCTGCCAACGTTCTCATTATGGTTCATTCTTAACAGCAGGTGTCAGTGGTTTTTAATTGCTGGATGACGATGAAACGTCTTTATTCTATCTCATATTCTCCACCTTTTCAGAGTGCAATGAAGGCTTGCGCACGCTGTCGGCACGTTGTAGAATTAGATGAACCATCACCCACGACTCAGGACACAGCAGCATTAGAAGGCCACGGGATGACTGAACCAGGCCAGAATGAGGGCAGTGAAAGTCCTAGAAAGGCAGAGCTGTGGAGAGACAACCAGGAGAAGGAGTCCCTCAAGGCCCAGATCAGGGAGTTGGAACAGGAGTTGGCCCAGACCAAACTCCAGATGGTGGAGTCCAAGTGCAAGATCCAGGTGAGAGCAGACCCATTAAACCCCTCACACATGTACCACATATATATATTGGAGCATACAGTACACAAACACATTTTGGTAATCCAAGCATGCAATATCCAGGTCAAATCACAGCAGCTAAGGATGCATTGTCACGTACAAGAATGTAAATCAAACTTCAAACACACACAACGAGCAGAGGGTCTGTACTTGTGGGTACAATTCTGGGAATATATTCATTGCCTGGCCCATAATAAAGAAACATATTATATCAACTACCTGCTCAACTTTAACTCAATAAGAGGAGATCAGCTTTAGAAGATATTAATTGAGGTTAGCAACAGTGAAAGTTTTTGGCTATTAGAGCCCATCGATGTGAAGCATCCTCATTAACTGTAGGCCCATAAGAAGTTAGGAAATAGGACAGGATTCCCTGGAGTCTAGACGCTGGTGGGGAAAGAACAGCATCCAAGGACTGATTGGCTTGAAGCACATTATTACTTTTGGTGCTAAAATTAAGTTCTAGAAAAACTTATTAAAATAGTGTTCTGCTTTAAAATGTATTATTCTTCTATCAAGAGAATATTGTATATATTGAATGTATAGGGAATATTGCATTTAATTTCTTCCCATGAAACACTAAGAAACAATACTTAATTGTCTTCAGTTAGCAAATTATTTGAAAGTATGCTTTTATTAGTCAAAATATAAGCACATTTACAATGATGTATGCTTAATGGATTGCCTTAAGTACACTTAAAATAAGCATACTAAAAGTCTATAATAGCCTACTTATAAGTACAATAAATGGAAAATTGTTAAACTTTTAAAAACTTTAAAGTTTAGGGATAAAAGAACATTGACATTATGACTGTGCAAATATGGACTGAAGTTATAAAGTAAAGTTCACATTTTCCCTGCTGAATTTCTCACATATGCCTGTGTTATCCAGGAGCTGGAGCACCAGAGAGGAATCCTGGCCAACGATCTCCAGGAAGCAAAGAACAGCTGGATCAGCAAGGCTTTCACCTCCCTTAGGACCCCCAGTGGAGGGGGGCTTCACAGCATTAGCATACCCAGAGATGGAGCTAGCACAGTGCGATGGAACCTCCACAGTAGGCCCCTCTCTGCATGGAGCACCAAGAAGCTGTCGTGGCCTCACAGAGACAATCGAGAAAATGTCTGATAGCTTGGACTGTGACACAATGGAAGGATGAAACCTCTTATTAATCCTCTTATTAATTCACATTGTTATATGTACAGTATGTATTCAACCCTGTAGCTGCTATTTCTTGAGAATATTTTTTTAAATAGTTGTAAACCACATCTTTGTGCCATGTGACTTTTATGTATATAGTTATTTGTAAATCTCAACTCTATATTAAAGCAAGTATCACGTCAGATTTTTTTTTTTGTGTGTGACGTAAGGAAACCATACTCAGTTACTTGGCGGTTCTTTCTGAAGGAGGTTTTCCTGTGATAAAACCAAATGCGCTGTTCCTCTTTCAGTATGACCACGGCTGCCTTTAAAGTGTCGATCCGCTGCTCAAGCACACAGAGAGAAGAGTTGTCAGCAGTAGACTGTAAAGAAGTTATCTCTGAACTTTGACTTTGCAGAATAGAGCTGACCATTACAGAAACACAGCAACGGAACAATAGTTTAGAGCAGTCAATATATTGCATAAGTGAGGGTTGATTATAGTATTTAGCAATTAACACTAAGCTTTGTAGACAAACTAAACTCTAAATTACTCTAATTACTGGCTGAAGCACTGATAGCTGCAATGGTTGGCAGTGTGTGCGTCACTTTGATTCTTCTCATTTGCGTTCTTGGAGGCCAAGCACTGGACCTGCTGAGGGCAACTGCAACATCAGGGAGTGAGTATCAATCTGTGTGAAAAATAATAATTCTTTTATAGTAATTTTATGAGGGGTTTTTTATGTCACAAAGGCTCTACTGTTGTTTTAAGGGTTTTTGGTGATATTTTAATGTATGTTTTATTGATGAGTAACTAGTAAGCAAGAAAAAATGGGAATTGAACAAATAAGAATAATAAAAACACACAAGCAAGGATATAATGCTAAAACAAAACCTTTACATAGAAGAAAGAAAATACAACAATACAAACATTTTCTGTATTTTATGCTCTGCTCCTCTTGCGCCTGAATGAAAACAACCAGTCATAGCCAAGAAAGATAGTTTAGTGTTGAGTTGTTTTTGTATATGCATGGTGGATTCCTGGAGAACAGCTAACACTAGGAGAAGCCAGAGGAACCAGATTGTATTCACAGATTATGTGTCTCATGTGCTACTGTCAGGATACAGTGAAAACTTCAGTAAATATGACATATTTTTTAATCAAGTCACCCGCTGCAACTTTAAGTGTAATTTCTTCCCTCAGATCCTGCCTTCACTCCCAAGGTGCATTGCTGGTGTCCTAACTATCCGAATGTGACTCTCTGCTCCTGGCCTGAACCCTCTCACGCCCCACTAGTACACTACATCACCACCTACAGGTAAGTCTGAGCAAGAAAACAACTGTCCTCCGCTCGTGTGCTGACCCCAAACCACTGACACCTTTTAGTAAAACAGACTCCAGTTGTCATTAAGTGTCATTGAGGAACTCATTTGTATGTGTGTTAATGTGTTTGTCAGTCAGAGACACAGGCAGACGGTCACCGAGCAGTGCCATCTCATCCAACCTAACTCTTTATCCTCGTCATCCTCATCTCAACGGGTACCAGTTTTATTTACATTTACTGCATTAAACTGCACTATGCTGCACTACACTGTACTGTACTGTACTCTACTGCATCATACTGTACTGTACTGTACTGTACTGTACTGTACTGCATCATACTGTACTGTACTGTACTGTACTGTACTGTACTGTATCTCCAGCTGAAGAGGGGCTTTACAAAACTCACTCAAATCGGATTTTGAAAAAATGAAACTAAGCACATATCATATGTAAAGAATAAAAATAGGTATTTTTTTAGGATTTTATGCTGTAATGTTGTTACAAAACTTTCAAAGCTGGGAAAACCCCTATTCGGTTTTTCTGTTACAGCTGTTATCAACCACAAACCACAGTTTGTCTTGTGATTCTGATGTGAATGACAGTAAGATATGAGAAATAAGCAGCATTGTGCTTGGTTATGCAATGATTATAGAGTTATTCTCAGCATCACTGTTGTCCTGCACATATCTATATTTAAGTATTCAAGTAAATAAGAAATTAAGCTGGCAGTGTGTAAAAACTAGCAAATTACCTACATATCCTGGAGATTTTCTGAATTGAGACATAAAATAGACTGATTTTATGTATATAAAGCTACAAATAATATATATTAGCTTGTATCACATATCATTCTGTTTCTTTGTTTAGCTCTGGCGCTGCCTCCTTCCCAACCTGAACCTTCTCACTGACTACATCATCAATGTCACAGCAGTTTATCCTGGTGGAAGCAGCTCCCATCTTTCAAGTTTCATGATGGAGGATATAGGTGAGAACTGACATTAGAACTAATCCTAAAGGTGAGGAGAGTGACAAATGTAGTAATAATGTAGTGCATACTGTAAAGATCTTTTTTTGTTTTTCTTTCTGTCTGTAGTGAAACCAGATCCTCCCGTAGACGTTCGGGTTTCCCCTCTTAATATCAGGAACCTGTTGGTGGAATGGTTCCCTCCCCCTACGTGGGCTAACCTGGACATCGCCCCCCTAAAGTACCAGATACTGTATCAGTGGGAAAGCCGGGGCACCCCAAAGTCTGTCAATGTAAGAGTAATCTTCATCAGAACTTACACATATACCGATACCACAGACAGAAGTCCAAAATTACCCAAACTGTTTTCGAAAAAGTTTTAAAAAGTCCCTTCATCTGTGGAAGTCTGTGGTAATTAATCATGTAGCTTTTGAGTTTAGTGTTAAATGTAAACATATAAACAACAATACATCTTATAGTGTTTACAGTTACAGTTTTAAGTAACTTACTTTAAAATGACAACTGTTGATTGGTGTTAATTAGTAAGCTTCAGGTATTGGTAGTCTTTTAATTCAACCTTTAAACAGAGCCAGGCTAGCTGCTTTCAGTCTTTCTGCTAAGCTTTAACTCCTGGCTGTAGCTTCATATTTAAAGAACACAGTAAACTTCTAACTATGCCTTTAAACCTATTTATTCAAGTAGAGTCATTGTGTTTTATTTTGAAAATGTAGATGTTCATGCGTGATTAAAGAAAAAATTATCATACATTTTCTCCACCAGCTGGGTCCATTTGAGAGCACCAAGGTTGAGCTGAAGGGACTGACACCAGGAAGACCCTACCTGTTCCAGGTGTGTGCAAAGGAGCTGTTGGGTCTGGGCAAGTGCAGCGACTGGAGTTTACCTGTAAAAATCACCATACCAAGAGCGAAACCGTAGAGGAGACCTCTCACTTCCTGTTTTATTTATTCCTCTCCTTTTAAGCTAGCAGTGAAGTAAAACTGCAAACAGGCAATCATTGTGGTTGCAGCTGCATGAGCAATGCAAGCGATAATTATTGATATTTTGTTTTATTTATAAAGTAATAAATAGATATCTGTACAGTGTACAATAAAACCCCTTCTACTGAATATTGTCTTTTTTGTAATTGTCTTGGTTTGTGTTGGTCTTTGGAGCAACTGATAATATTGTTACCATAATGTATCTGTCTGATTACTTTTTATATGAACAGTTTATCACCTGTTGTGACCTTTTTTAAGACACATTTATCTATTTTATCATTGTGTGGCAGCTCCACATTTGTGTGAAAAATTTGAATAAAAACAAGGCATTTGTATTGAAGCAGTCAGTCGACTACATGCACTACGAGTGGGGTCACAAACTCAGAGTGTCTGACGCCCATAGTGCAGGAAGGAGGTTTCGGGAGGTGCAAATGAAACTTCTCTGGGCTGTACGTGCCGGGACCAGGAATAGCAGAGGAATAATTAGGCCTCTTAGTCCGGCTCTGCATGGAGAATGAGGGCTGGCGCTGGCGGTAAATGTCTGGGTTGATGCTGTTGTATTTTGCTGGTCCGGGGCTCATGGAGAGGTCTTCGGTGGGAGCTCCGACCTTCCTCCGGCCTGAGAAACTGAAGCTGGCACTGGAGGGTTTGTTAGGCACCTGGCAGCCCAGCAGATTAGGAAGACAGTAGCTGGAATGAAAAACAACACATGTATTCAGCTTGTTTTTAGCCTAACCCATCCTACTGAAGATGTAAATCAAAAACAAAACAGGTCACAACTATACACTTTTTTTAAACAGCTAAATGATATCCTAAAAACAATTTGCACCGTAGTTTTTAGCAAACAGGAGTAAATAGTGCATTTATTGGGGCTAGTATATGTGGCATTGACTCAGTGCAGTGCCCATGTTCATTATAATGAAGGAACATACCATTGATGTATTCAGGGAAACAATAGAGCTCTATGGTATGGAGACAATACTTATAATATCACCAGCCTTGTCCTGTACTGTCTCTTCCCTGCTGTCTTCACCTGTTGGGTGCTGGTACCGCATCGACAGAGCGGTATCTGGTGCGGTTGCCGATGGTGTAGGATGGTGGTCTGTGGTGAGCATTGAGAGGCGGAGCCTTCTCTGGGCTGTAGGCCCCTGGCCCTGGAGTCTGGTACAGCTCACCTATGAACACAAATAGAAATTTGTTTTCGAAAGTTTTAATGAAGAGAAAAGAAAGGCCTGAACGTGAAAGTGTATGAAGGAAATAGTCTCTAATCCTCCTCTAATCTTTTGATAGTGTGATGAAGAAAAATCTTTTCTTCACCTGATTATCTGGATGTGTGTGTGTGTGTGCGCTCAAGATGTTTCATTCACCAACTAACAGCGGTGGAGGAAGTACTTGGATATTTTACTTAAATATACTTCAAGGGGATTTTAACAGTTTACGATATAGTCTCAATTTAATACTGATGCCTTTAAATGAACTACAGAAACAAGCAAGACCATCTGTGAGAAGACTGGATATTTTTATATATTCTTAATGTCTCCCATCGGGTCGGCTTCTGTTGGATTCCCCTTGAAATTAATTAATAAGGGTGGTGAAAGCACTACCATTTTGTCCACAGGGACCACCAGAATAAAAATTAAAGTTCTTTGTTGCTGCTTTATGTAAAAGTACTAAGATCAAACTGTAAAAGTACTTGTAAAAGACATAGTAAATAAATAAAAACATTATTTATTTTTTTCCTTTTTATCACCTTTAGTCCCTGTGCGCCTTGCTCTGCCCAAAATGGAGTAGGAGGGGGTTTCCATCCGACCAAACCGGGTGACCTTGGCATCAATGTGGTACCTTGGTCCTGGGCTGGAGTCCACAGACACCACTACAGAAAACACAAACGACTATCCTGTGACACCTTTAGACCTCATAACAGGATGTGAGAGTTACTTAGCATAAGAAAGTTTACAAAACATTAAAGATCCCTGTGAGTAACTCTCAACTCACTGGCACTGCTCAAGCGGCTGTGGAAGGAGTAGGCCGGGCTGCTGGGCTTGGTGAAGTCATGGTTGATGTATCCAACTGTAGGGGGCAGAGCGTAGCGTCCAGGGCCCGGGCCTGACAATGAGAAGAGGAGTAGGAGGAGTGCGGCGATAAAAATGATGCAACAGATTCAACTCCAAGCAGCAGTATAGCACACCCGCCGCTCTCTGGCTCGGGATGTATAGTCTCTGATGATTTCCATATGGAGATCTTTGACTTAATTTCTATGGTTATGCATTTTAACGTTCTCCCTGTGCTTGTTTGGGAATGGATTCTAAACAAAGTAGAAATCTCAAACAAGTGTGGTGCAAAGGCTGTATAATTTCCTAGCAAAAATAGTTCAGCTATAATATAGTCCATGTGGATGCACACACACACACACACACACACAGGCAAACATATTTCTTAAACTGACCTCTTTCTCTAGCAGAGATTATCGGCCGTTTCTTCACCACCTCCTGCATTCTCTGCCAGCCTCTTTCTTCCCCTTTTCTTCTTCTGTCCTCTTCTCTGCCTCTTTGGGTCCTCTGTCACTTCAGACACCTCCTTTTTTGTGTATGTGTGGCTCTCTTCTGGTAATCCGCGGCGTCCTGGGCTAAATTATACATAAGCATGAGGTGAAGAAACCCTATCTTGACCGAGGGCCTGGGTACGCCCCAACCTGCTCTCCACCTCCCTTTCCGCGAGGTCCCCTTGGGACAAAATGTGTACACCACCAAGGCCAAAACGTTGACTCTGTCAAGGCTAAAAAGAGATCGAACAGTGATTGTTTTGGTTAAGAACAAAATCAGCACCGCAGATGCTTCTGTACAGCTAACTGTACAATGAACATAGAGATTTAAAGTGAAAGTGCAACAATAAATATGATAGTATCATGTAGTTCATTTGTCATCCTGTTCCGAAGCATCAGGTTACTTAAACTGAACTGCAGTATGTGTGGTGAACCTCTCAACTACACTATGTATGCTGTAACTAATAGCAGCTCAGCACACATGCTATTAAAAATGAAAGGACTTACACTGATCTTATGTTGCACGTGGATATTCGGCAAGCTCAACATTGCTGTAATAAAAACTATGAACTGGTTAGTGTAAAGATTTAACAAACTTTTTGCTATTCGATAAATATGTTTTAGGTCAGTGGAAGATCTCTAATGACTGCATGCTCAGTGATCAGGAAAGCCCCAATACAGTGCTAGAACTGTAAAAAAGAGCCGTATTGTTGAGGTAAGTATTTGATTTTTTTGCACTAAATTTCATTAGGGAAGGAGAAGTGAAGGCAGAAATACAATATAAAGGGTCAGATAAGTCAAAAGACCCACCCCTGCTCTCCCCTTCTTAGAGAAAGTACATAACCCATGTTCTTTTCTGACCCCGACACCTAATAATTTATGTATAT